TGCTGGCAGAAAGGTCCAGGGACCAGAGAAGATTTACTCAGAAGGTTTATGAAGCCTCTGTTACCTCCACATCTAGCTTCTGACAGACCAGAGCCCTTCACTTACAATGCATTAAATAGCTCCCTACTTTCTGCACACAGCCAGGAAACAGAAACCTTCCCAGGCAAACATCCCCTGAAGAGAATTTCCTCCTTTTCTGTTGAGGGTTTATGTTCACAAATAGTCCAACATCTTTTCTAGTTAGTTCCAGTTGTAAAGTCAATCAGTTACAGCTGTGCTAATCCGCTATTACTAACTCCTTTACCTGCTGATCTCTTCATGGTGAAACTTGCAGGTGAAACCAAGGTGACCTCCGTCTGCCTTTCCCTATCATATTTAGAAAACATCGGGGTGAGGTAAGACTTCAGAACAACTGTACAGACAGTATGGATGCTACAGCATGGGAAAGATTTTTCTTTGGGAAAGTAGATGTTTGAAGAGGTTACATCTCAAACTTTTTGACTTGTAAAGTCAAAGAAACTTGTGGTTTTGTTTACCGCAGTTGACTGTAGCAATGCTGCTTTTTATGTCAACATACATTTTAGTAAATGTTAGCTTGTACTCTGTAGTGATGGGCTGTTTGCAGTAACCTTGGCAGTACTGCTCTTATCTTATATTTACACAACAAGTGCAAAGAAACGAGATTAGGTATTTTTCCAGAATGTTTTAAAAGCCTTTTTCCTCCTGTCTTGAACAAAGGCTGAACTTTAAACATTTCAAACACTTGGAATCTGTACAGTTAATTCATTATTAATCGTTTCCTGACAGGTCTATCCTGACTAGAGTATTTTCTTATTAGCATGGATACGGTGTGTATCTTAGGGCAGGTGCAATGGTTGTGTGGGACTCCAGCAAGGGAGATGGAAACTAGATTCACAAAACTGACTTGGACTGGGACTAGACCCAGAAAGTTAGGATGGATGGACATGTAGCATGGCGTTCCTCTGGAAATGGAAGGATTTTGATAAGGAAGCAGGTCCAATCACAAGCATTTTGATGGACTGGACTGACAGAAAATTAGCATGATCTACTATCCCCAAAGGAACAGATTTTTGTTTCTGTAGCCCTACAGAAATTTTTATTTCAGCCACATGATTCTCAGACTTCTGCGCTTTACAGATTTTTCCCTGAGCTCTTCCATCAGTGGTAGCACCACCTGAAGTGATTTAAAAATGCCACATATCGATCCCCGTACGGGAGTGCTTTGATCAGCTTGACTACTGGGCTTACTGCACACATATCCTTAAACACATTCTACCTCTCCACGGCTCCGATACTTCTTTGTGAAACTGTGATAACAGCTGCTTCCCAGGGAGGCTGTGAGACTTCATTTGTCTCTGTAGGTTAAAAGAGCAGGATAAGACTCTTGGCCATAAGCGCCCTGTACCCGGTCAGCACTGGGCAAGGGCAGCAGGTCTGCAGCGCCGACGCTCTCCCTGCCCTGGGAAAGCCTGACTTGCGTTCACCTCCCTCACCAGGCAGAACAAGTGCATCAGCTTTGCTGGGGAGAGGCGGCATGCAGTCTTCCGAAAAAGAAAAGGAATTTTCTTGTGCTGCTTAGCACCACGAACAATATCTCCTCCGTCCCCTGCAGAGAGCAGCCCAGCTGGGCTGCACGGCTCTGTAATATGAATTTAAAGTTAATTAAAGATGTTTGGAGTGGAAGTGAGATTGAAGACTGAGATTCCCTGAAATGTACCCTCTACCTGCTATAAATCTGTGCCTTTCAGGTCAGGACTTGAACTCTCCCCTCACTGGAGGGGCCCTGAAACTTTTCGAGTTCATGCACTTCTGCTGCAACCAGTGACAACTTCAGAGAGGAACTGTCCTTCAAAAAGCACATGCTTTCATTTGCTGAAATCTTCATTACCTCTGCGTGAGTTGACCAGCTGCTTGCACATAAAGCCCTGAGAGGTTGGGGAATACAGCAGGATTGTTTCATAGCAGCCTCCAGGGTCACAGCAAGACTGGTCTATTAAATATGTGTATATGAGTATATTTTACTCATACGATATCCCTGTGAATACTAGAAAACCTGCACAAGATGACACAGACCAAACAATTGTATTTCTTTAGTCTTTCTCATTCATCTGGAGCTGAAAATGCTTTACAACATTATATAAACTGATCTGCTATTACCAGCAAGCTGCCAGGGTCCAAGCGAGGGCAGAAACTGTTTAACACTTCATCTAACACCATAGAGGGACTAGAGGTTGGAAACGAGGAACAGCACAGTACCAGCAAGCAGACAGCACTAATCTAACTAAACAACATGTTAGCTGACCAAGACAGACTATAATCAGGGGAAACTGGTTATGTCAGTACTGCCTGTACAGGATGGTGACTTTTGCTATAGTTTTGCCATCTTAACCATACGGTTGGTCAGTTGACTCGACCTGCTTTCAGCGTTTCTCCATAGCGATTGCAATCTTGTTCTGGTGAGGGATTTTGAAAAAGGGTTTAAACAGCACGATTTTCCTGCCACGGGGATATTGCGGCTCCCGACCAGGTCCGCTACCTCAGGAGGGTTTCTCCCCGAGCAGGAGCTGGTTAGGGGTGCCAAAAACCTGCCGATTTTGTCACCCTGACAACTGCTCGACCGAACGGCCTCTAACTCATTAAACATTCTTCCTATTTACCTCACCCATTGCAAACAGTCATTACTGCAGCCTGCAAAACTGGTGCTTGCTCAATAGGCAAATTCAATACTCGTTCTCCTCAATGGACCTCTTGCGGAAGCCAAAGTAATATCAAGAAAAGGAAATACAAAATACCATTTGCTTGTGTTATGCATTTTCAAAATGGCCAAAAACTGAATAGAAAGCAGAGAGGTTCCTTCCTACACACTGCCCTAAGCTAACATTCACCCTGATGAATACCAAAGGGAAATTACAAGTTTGCTTAAAAATGTCTGCTGTTTCTGCAGAGGGACTGGAGTTGCTCAGAGGGATTTACAAGGAAGGCTCTAGCTTCGCACTGGAGCTTTCCTGTGGATATGACATCTTCCAACAGGAAAAAAGAATATCCAAATCCCAGAAGCCTCTACAGACTTTCCCCAGCACAGCTACTTCTGCTAGCACGCTAAAATAAAACAGCAATACCATACAACAGCTTGGGGCCAAGGAGTTAAGAGAAGTAAGTAGAACAGAAGAAAATTACCAGTATTTATTCTGAAAGAAA